GCAGTCCATGCTCCTATCTGATATATATATTTTTATATATTTCTACAATGAATGTCTCTCCCTACATTTAAAGTTTCTAATGATCAACCGTGGTCGCAAAAACCACTTCTAACGAACTTTGATGTTCAATCATACGAAAAACCCGAGGCTGCTGAATGGGAAATTCTGATCCAAATCTTGCGGAACAATCGAGAATTCCGTTCCTCCGATCGGAGAATTCGTTGTCGATGCATGGGACGAGAAGTAATTAGATGCTGACGTGGCTGGAGAATAGAACAACGGAGAATATTCATATTCGCCGAGGTCGTTATCGTAAAATGCCGATGGAAACGAGAAGTGGGGCGCTGCTGCCACCTCCTCGATACCACCCAAGTCCTCCGTTTCGACTCTCAGGTTAGCTTTAAATTCCGAAAGTGTCGGATTATTCTTTTGCTCTGTTTGATGATGACAGTGAGATGCATTACACGCATGAACTCCTTTGTATACTATCTCGAATAAAGTGGGGTCCTTGTCCGATCTTTGCACTTGCTTTGTCGCCCAGCAATTTCTAGCCGTTCGATATGTGCATCGGTAGTAGCTTCTGCAAGAATAGAATAGATACACTGTTATTATATCTTCTATGTGTGTGTCTGAGTGTGTGTAGATGTAGTGAAAGAGAAAAAAACGAACAAACCTCGGATATTTATGTCCCAAAATGTCTTTCTGACCGTATTTCCTCCAATTATGGCCATCTTCTTTAGGTCCATCGAGCCCGTTTTCGTAGTCAACCCTCACTTTCTCTGTCCACGTGGGCTGCAATTTTCTGTGAAAAAAATAACAAATTTTAGTTAATGTCGGTAATTCTTGATTGCGAAAGTGTTTTTAAAAAGAAATTCAAGATTTCGCGTGAATCTTGAAATATACCTCTTCTTAGATTTATTATCTCCGAAATTCCTTTTCGTATCCTCACTTTTGGGACTTGTGTCCACAGATACGGAGGAGGAATCGGGTGCGGTTGGTGTCGGTGGGCCCACCTGGGGTTGTCCAATAGATTCGCGCCACCTCAGCGCCAGCAAAGCCTTCTCGAAAGTCGATAAAATCGTCTGCACGAGAAAGTCGTGATCTTTAGAAGGGGATGTTGCGCACAAACGAAGACGGAGCTGCGTAGCATTCTCCATCCCTTGTGTAAGTTCTTCGATTAGCATCTTGTAATCCCAAGGTAAAGCGCTATCCATTTCGATTTCTTTTCTTTTCTTTCTTGAATTAACAATGATGCTACTTTCTTATGTTGATAAGATAGGGGCTATGTGTATGTATGTATATATATGGTGGTGAAGGTGATGAAGTAAGTAAGTAAGAGAAAGTGAGGGATTTGAATTTAAAGAAAGGGTTTTTGGAATTGATTTAAGAGGAGAAAAAAGCATGTGGAAAAGAGTGGAGAGAGTTGAACTTTGACTGAGAAACCGAGTTATTTTTTGTCTTGGTGAGATTGACTTGTTCAAACCTTCTTTTATTTCTTAAATGGGTTATTTAACAACCAATTTTGCTTAATATTAAAAACTATTACTGGCTCGACCATTATTAGATGGATAATGATTGCTATTATCGGTCATTTATTTATCGATTTTTTTCGTTTTAATAATAATTAGATTTTTTTTTAAATAAACCAGAAGATATTCATTTTTTTGGAAAAAAGCTTAGCTTTAAAAGTAAGTGTCTTTTTTTAATTAAACTTCTACAGTAAGTAAATTATATAATGAATTCATAAGATTATGAAATAGGAATAGTATCCAATTTTAAGAATCACAATCAAATGTTTGTAGTAAATTTCTATTATTTAAATAGTTCGATATTACCCGACTTTTGAGTAAACTGAAAATCACTGACCGACCTATTTATATATGGGTCGGTTAAAATTACCGACTCGGTTGTATGCGTTGGTTAATTATCGGTTATCGGTCAAGAAAAGTGGGTCGGTTGGTCGATAAAACTGATCGGTGCCCAGACCAGTGAATTAAACAAACACCAATTAGGCCACTCTCGGGGGCAACCACCCCTTGAGTAAATTGTATTATATAATATATATTTTCCGTACGCCAAAGTGCTGACCGATTCAAAGAACTTAAAAAGTGGGTCATAATAAATTGAAGAATATAAATACCAAAAAGTCAAAATAAAGTTTGAAGTGATTAGAGAATTTAGAATGGAATCTTCAAATTAATTCCGCGTTGCTTTGATTTGCATTCAGTATATGAGTGAGACACTCTCTCTGCCAAGATAGACCCACCTGAAGTGATGTGCACTACTTGTTATATTTCAATTTTTTTTTTTTTTTTTACTTTTTATTGTAAATAATTATTTAGTAAATTGTGTAAATAATATTGATATGCTAATATGTAGCTCGCCTAGGGTAGTGTAGAAAACGAACTGGGAGAGTAAAGCAGGTCCGTAGCTTGACAACTTGATGATCCTGAGGTACTTGCGATCATAGAACACATGAACTAAGCCGGGGTTGATCCGGCGGAAATCCCTCCGACGCTCAAGTCAGACATGCTGATCATAGAAATAGTCCAGAGAATACATATTATATAATATTGCTCAGTTAATAGGACGTACCTTAATAAATTGAGTAAAACCTCTATTTATATGTCGTTTATTGGGTTGGGTTTGCTTTGTTGGGCCCAAGCCTTACTTGAAGGTGTTTGGGCATCGGTGATATTAGTCTTCGATATTGGGCTCGTAGCCCAGTAGATACAGAAATTGTAGGCCCATTGGGTTGACCCAATTAGGCATATCATTAAATATCTATTTTCATTTCCAATTCTATCCTCCTAACAAATTGAGCTCAATTTTTCCGGTCATTTTCTCCTATTTTTGCAATTCTTTTGACATCTTTTTTCAATTATTTGTGTTTTATTTTCTTCTCTATTAATTTTCTAATTTTTTTAAATTCTTTATGGCATCTTTGTATTTTGTTTTCTCTTACTATAAAATAATTTGTTACTGTAATATTTACAGTAGAAAAAACAATTAACACTTCGTTTTTTTTTTTATAATTTTTTTGTTTTATACGGTCCATAAGTTGGATGCTTCGTACAGAAATTCAAAGATGACAATGAAATGAAACCACAATTTTGACTGGCTGAAGAAGCTTCTCTTCTGGATATTATTTTACTTTCTTTATATTCCAAAATATTATTTAAAATAATGCCTAACAAACTAATTATCATTGGATAAGGTTTCTGGAAGCCTTCGTATTTAATCACAATTAAGTCATCAAATCTAAATTAACTAACACAATAATTCTGTCTCTTTTCATGCTGTTTTTAATTGATTAATAAATCAACTGATAACTGATTATCTATTAAGCTGCAGATGCTGTTATTTTCGGGTGATTTTTTTTTTCTGTTAATTTACACACACCAATGTGGGTGTGTGTATGAACCATAAAGATTTGTCCGGTGTAGCATAGTATAAACCTTGCATATGTTCATTAGAACAATATATATTTTTTTAGATACATAATTTATCACAGAAAATCGACACAATTCTCTTTTATTTCATTTATTCAGTACTTAGTAACATCTCTTATTCCCACATACTCTTCTCTTAATTCTGCATCCACATGATTAGAAAAAAAAAAATAGTTTAGTGGCAGTAAAATTAAAAAAAAAATTCAATTTTTCTTGAAGCCTGAAAATAAAATGAAATTAAATTACCTTCTTTTTGTACTTGTCATTCTCACTATCACTGCTGCTTCCACTGTCAAACTCGTCCTTGTCCTTATTCTTCTTCGTCTTCTTGTTCTTGATATGGTCGAGCATCTTCGGCATGCAATGACCATCATGCCCCTCTGTCTTTTTCGTAGTTACCTTCTTCTTCTTCGTTTCCGTCTTGACACCGCCACCAGTCGAGCTATTGTTAGTAGCAGGGTTTTGGTGGTTGAACATTTTTCGAGCCGATTGAGCCATCTCCTTCACTTTGTCACTGAAAGAGTGCTGTTCGTTATGGTTGACAGTACTGTTATTGTTCTTACAATAACATGTTTCGGTTGTGCTCGTTTTTTGGTGATTGGTTGAGGGCTGAACTTGTTCGGTGGGCTTCTGGAACTGGACAGAAGCCATTAGATATTGCAAGTTACGGGATTTATGTTTTGCCTGAGATATGCAAGTCTTGATGATGATATATACAATACAATACATACATGTATATATATGTATATATACACGTATAGTGGGATTCTGTGGTCAGAAAGGGGTCAAATCATACTTTGAATCTCCTTTCCAATCCCAAAGCAACGAAAAGAGAAGAATATATTGCATTCTTTGGCATATGTATAGCGATTATTTTGTCTTCATCAGAGAATGTTATTAAATT